AAAAAAAAAAAAAAAAAAAAAAAAAAAAAAGAAAAAGAAATGGTGATGGGGACCGGGTGATACAGAGTTGGTGACGGTAGGAAGGAGAGGGAGGTGAGGTGGCAGGAAGCACCCAGCAGAGGAGCTGAGTGTCCTTATCCCCCTTCCAGCCTCTGAGGACGGGCTGTGTCCCAGCAGAGCTCATCAGCTTCGGTGTCATGAACACATACTATGTGCTTAGCTGCCCTTAATGCATGATTTTGTCCTCATGGTAACCCTGAGGGCTGCGGCCGAAGACACTGTAATGTGGACACTTAAGTTTTTTCTAAGATCCCGGAGTACTGAGCCTTGAGTGGTGGGACTGGAACCAGGGAGCCTAACTCTAGACCGCTGTGGTGCAGTGACACCCTTAGCAACTACCCAGAGTCATCGAGCTGGGGTAGTTGATTGATGTTATGTTTCTTAAAAAAACAAAAAAACAGCAACAACAAAGAAACAAAGACACATGAGTGACTCAATTTAGAAAGCTTTGCATCAGAGGCCGTTGATGTGAAGAATTGGACTACAGAGTGGATCACATTGTTTCAGAGCTGGACAGTGCCTGAGAGTCAGCTGGGCCAGTGTCTTAGAGTTCAGCCACCTGCACACCTCATGGGGGTTTTGCTCTGTTTGCAATTTGACCTGGGCTTTTAATTGTTTGTACTGGAGCCCTGGGCTCATTTCCCCAGTGCTTCCAGTCATGTATGCTTTTGAGCAGGTCACCTGCCTCTCTGGGTCTCCATATTCTCATCTCAAAAGTGAAGGGAGTGGAGGTCATTTTGGGTGAAGTAGTTTGATTTCTGTCATTGTCAGCCATGTAAAGTGATGGAAAGAAGGGCCAGGGTACAGTATAGACAGAAGGTCTTCTGAGAAATCCCCTTGGGGTTGGAATACAGGGATGTGCTCTTTAGTTGAAAAGTCTTGGTGCTATAAAATATTATTTGCATTATCTTGGATTGAGACCTTTGAACTTAGTAAACAATCACTTTATTTGATGCATTGCTCCTGATGTCTAAAACGAATATTAAATGCTACTGTTTAAAAGGGGAGATTTAGAAGAGTTTCAAATCACTGTTGGGGTTAGTCTTGGAGAATAGTAGAGATCATAAACAATTTTGGTTTTGAGGTTTATTCCTTCCCCTCTTTTCTAAGTAACGATGTTTTCCTCCCACTGCAAAATGATAGAAATGCATTGGACTCTGATATAAAGGAAGTATTTCTAGTGAGTCACTTTAACAGTCATTCTGTGACACCAGTCATTCTTAATGAGAGGTGACTGCAAACATCTTGTTCCATTAATGCCCATCGTGTGTTTTTAAAATAGAGCCGAGTCCAGTTTCTGATCTTCGTGTTGCCTCCGTGGGTGTGACGAAGGTTGCCCTTACCTGGAGCAATGACAATGGCACTGCCTCCTGCCGGATGCTCCTGGAAAGCATCGGAAGCTGCAAGGAGCCGATTCCAGACTTAGCAGTCAATATTTCAGACCTGAAGCCAGGGATTCAATACAACGTCAACCCCTATCTTCCAGAATCAGTCGGGACACAGAGAGACCCCCTGGTGACAGAGAGTGGTTCGGGTGAGTTACAAAAGGTGCTTCCGCGTCTCCATTGTGGGTTTTGACTTTCAGTGCTGTAACAGTTTTTTTTTTTTTCCTTTTTGTCTTTTTTACTGACTGGTAACGGGATCGCAACCCTCGGTGTCGCGCCCGTACCGGGGACCGGCAACGGGATCGCAACCCTCGGTGTTGCGCCCGCACTGCGCTCAGCCAGTGAGCGGGAACCGGTCTCCACATGGGATCCGCCACCGGGCCGGCCCGACAGTTTTTAAAAATACTATTTTTCTATTTGTATAGAGTTTTAGAATTTATAGAGGGCATTTCCTCCACATTTTGGTTTGATCCCGCACCTGTAGGAAGAAGGAAGGAGAAGTTCTTATTTTACAGGTGAACACATTGGGGCCCAGAATTGCAATGGGG